AAACCCAGGCATGTGCCCTTGACTGGAATCGAACCTAGGACCCTTCAGTCTGCAGGCTGATGCTCTATCCACTAAACCAAACTGGCTAGGGCAGAATAATGCAATTCTTAAGGAGGATTTTGTGAGTTGATCATCCCTAATTTTTTAAATTTTCAATAAGTGATGCTATGAAGTCAAGCTAAACATAAATGAAACTCTGCTAGAGAAACTATAACTTGTAGGCACTGTATCCAGATTAGTATTTGCAATAATTTATTTCTCATCTTCACTCATTGTCAAAAATTAAAACATCTTAGTTAAAATAATGAGTCTGTTTTAGAGGAAATAGTATGCTACTTGCCAGCAAATTGGCTATATTCCAATTTTAAATCAAAATGGGGATCAGGGAGGTATATTTCATCATCTTAACCATATTGCTTTTAAGCCTAAAATATTGGGAGAATCAATCCAAACCTCACTCCCGATCACTGTGTAGCCATGGCTAGTTATTTTTTTATTAAGAAAATGACTTAAAAGCTGAGTCCATGTTCTTTGCTGTAACTTTTATGTGGACATGCTCCAACACTAGGGAGCGGAAGCATCTATAGTTCCCAAATCCAAAAACAAAACTTCAAAAATTCATTTTTTTCCATAGGTCTATAGCAAACATTTCCTGGAAAAACCTAAACCATTTGTTCTATAAATATGACATGAATAATGTTTATTTTTTCTATAATGTAAATGTTTATACATTTTGTAGCAGAAATATTAATTTTGGGGGCCTCTCGGATCCCACTTGAGGGTATTATATCTACAAGTTGTAACATCTTAGTTTCTCAAAAAAAAAAGGAAATTCAAAACCAAAAGAATTAAAATAAGGGATTGTGGGCACTGGGTTCATTGGAGACAAGGCAGTTATTTGGGGATCTATTTTATGTGCACATGAAGCAGTGCAAATATGATAATAAGACTCATAATTTTTATATCTAACTGTAGACATTAGCCAGCATATCATCATCAGCCATTTTTAATAGAATTTTATCCAGGATCCTCAGGTGAATCCTCATTCATTGGCCCATCGCCTTTGTTTGGTCCAGAGCCTTATCCTTAAAGCAGCGGTTCTCAACCTGTGGGTCGAGACCCCTTTGGGGGTCAAACGACCCTTTCACAGGGGTCGCCAAATACCATCGGAAAACACATATATAATTACATATTGTTTTTGTGATTAATCACTATGCTTTAATTATGTTCAATTTGTAACAATGAAATTGGGGGTCACCACAACATGAGGAGCTGTATTAAAGGGTCGCGGCATTAGGAAGGTTGAGAACCACTGCCTTAAAGAGTAGGGAAGTATGGATGTCAGGTAATTTGGTCATGTGGATGGTGAGGGGGGTCTCTCCCAGCCTTTCCCTGAATTGTTTATCTTAACAAAAAGCAATAATGACATTGTCCAAGAACTAAGAGAAAAGAAACGGTATTTCTCAGTTGTCATGCTGGATTTTATGTGCGTTATATAAATTTCTAGGGGTTTAGGATAAGCAGACAAATGCTTTCCCCAGCCTACTCATCACTGTGACAATGGTTCTGTCCAGCATTGCTAGAGTAAAGTGACCGTACAAGAAAATGCTCTCTCCTCCAGAGCAGAGATTAGGCCTGTTACGTTCATTGTTTATCTCTCCACCACCACCACCTCGTACAGACAGCTGTCGCGTGCTACACACTTGAGCATTCAATCAATGAAGGGTTATTATTTACTTTCCTGAGGAGATCCATTTTAATGACCCAACCAAAATAGCTTGGCAACCCAACATAAAGACAAATGCATATTTACCTCTCTCAAAAGATTATTGAAAATACTTCATGACATGTTCCAGGATAGTAAATGGGTTTACCTATACTTTTTTAAAATATATATTTATTGATTTCAGAGAGGAAGGGAGAGGGAGAGAGAGATCAAAACATCAATGATGAGAGAGAGTCATTGATTGGCTGCACACCCCCACCAGGGACGGAGCCCACAACCCGGGCATGCGCCCTGACCAGGAATCGAACCCAGGACCCTTCAGTCCACAGGCTTTATCCACTGAGCCAAACTGGCTAGGGCTACCTATACTTTTTTAGTGTTTCTAAGTGAAGTATTACGTTAAAACATGGTATCATTCCACCGCACCTCCATCAGATATCCAAGTTGCAAAATTTTAGTGGGTTTGAAAATAAGGTAACAATATTTAAGTGGTAGTTGTTGTGTATGTAATTGCAATAAACAAATTCAAAATTTGCATAACTTGGCATGTATATGAAAGACTATACAAATTGAGGAAAACCACTAAGAATTGTGAAGAAGAAGCAGTTTTTAAGGAGAAGGAATCCTACTCACTTTTCTTCTCACACTATGTTTAGCTATTCAACTAAACTGAACTTTTAACACACCTATTAATGGTTAACATGTTACCAGCATATTTTATAATGTGACTTGATAGTAATATCAGTACCCATAAATATCAATGGCACAAAATGGCATAATTTTGACCTGATGAGTAGTTCTCTAATTAAGGTAAGATAAGACTAGAGAAAATAGTAAACACAAATCATCATCACTTACTATTTATTAAGCACCCTCCTGTGAATGGCATTTCTATTCTCTAGGAGCGACTCTGCTCTATAAGAAGTAATAGTAGGTAGCTAAAGCAGAAAGCACACAAAACTCATAGCTACTAAGGAAGTGGAGTGTGAGCATTATAAACTAAGCACAGGTAGTCGTAGACATCTCCTGTTAAAGTAGTGTTGAATAAAAACCAAGGCATCTTTTATTTTGTTATGATCTCTGTTCTAGTTGATTTTATATATTTTAATTGATTTCAGAGAGAGAGAGAGAGAGAAACATCAATGATGAGAGAATCATTTGATCAGCTGCCTCCTGCATGCCCCCTACTAGGGATAGAGCCCACATCCCAGGCATGTGCCCTGACCGGGAATCAAAACATGGCCTCTTGGTTCAGGGGTCCACGCTCAACCACTGAGCCACACCAGCCAGGCTAGAGGCTAGTTGATTTTTATAACTTTTGGGGATCTGGCAAGTGGTGAGGGGAGTAGCATTTGTTGAGTGCTGGTCACTGTGCTGGAAACTATACCATTCACTGAATCCTCAGTCAGCCTAGGGTGAGGGATTGTCCTCTTATGCATGAGATGGCTGAGAGGGTTTGCCTAAGGGGGCCCGGCTAATACATAAGAGACTCAGAATTAAACCAAAGTAGGACAGCAGAGCCCATGCTCTTTCCAGGCGATGAGCTCCTTCCCCAGGAAAGACTTTCTTAGTGTTGTTGTTGTTGTTGTTTTAACACTAGACATTAGCTTTATATATAACCGCTGAGTGAAATTCAGTGTTGCCTTGTTTGAAATGTTACTAAACATTTTCTTATATGTGTGAGTTGCCATAATGTGAAAGTCAAAACTCTCATGTCCGCCTTCTTAACACTTTGATGTTGTAATGTGAAAGCATTATGCATTTAGGAAGGCCAGCCTGAGACCTGGAAAAGGTATTTGGGGGAAAAGCTGCTATGTAATGATACATTACCATCCCCTAGTCTTCTGTAGTCATTTCCATTTTACTTCCCAGCACCCCAGCCGGCCAGGCTCTGCTAACAAAATCAGACCACCTGCTGCTCAAGCTGCCCACTTCCCCAAAGCAGTTACATATTTCAGTGTCCCTCAGGGTCCCCGGCTCTGTAATGTTAGATCATTTTAAAATGGAGTAAGAAAAGTGGCGGTAAAAATGGCCCCTTTTCCCTTATCTGTTTATTTCACTGGCAAAAGCAAGTTCTACAAATATTTGCAAAACCACTGGAGCTTTAGATGAATTAGCTTTCTTGCCTTAATGTAGCTAATTCCCAGTGACAATAAAGTATGTCGAATAAGTACCAGTTAACATCCCTAGACTTTAAAAAATATGTGTGGAAGATTACTACAAATGTCAACATTTCTAAATATTTTACTTCAGCAAAAGCCTAAATATTTGTGTAATTACAAGTTCATTTTGCAGAGGATCCGTGTGTTTTTTTCTTTTACATATGATTAAAAATTGTTCCATTTCAGGGTCTCAAAATAATTGGCAAAATACTGAACTAACATAACTTACAGCAATTTAGCTGAAGCTTTTATAGTGGGGAAAATGCAAGATGGAAAATTTTCAACTGAGTCCGTTCCAGTGATTAAAACAAAATTGTATAAACATTTACTGCAACACATATAGATTTCTTATTAGCTCTTCATGCTTATTATGTTCTTTGATAGCAAAGCAGAGTTTTATAAATCAACCAATGGAGAAATGGCGTGATTGGGAGGATTGATGATGTTTCAAAGGGCATTTCAGGATTATCATTCAAATTCATGTATTCAACCAATATTTGACTTCCCTACTATGTAAGACAGTCCTATGTATATTGGGGGGGGGGGGGGGGGAAACTGATGCATTATTTCATGCAGTGTCCTTTTAGAAGTCACATAATTAATCATATGAATTTGTTCCTGTAGAAAAGATTATTCTAAACATTTATTGAAAAATGAATCTTTTCTTGTCATTTTACCTACTATAATTATTTTCTGAAGACAATTCTTTTATTTTAAAATGAAACTAAGGGACACATTTTATATTGTATCAGAGGTAGTGGAATTTTCCTAATTAAGTAGTCTAAGAAATTTCTTCTTTGTGTAATTCCCAGGATTTCTTTATATAACTAAAAAAGTATATTGCATACCAAAATATGCTCAACGTAGGAAAAAGCTATAATAATAATTAATTATTGTAATTCTAAAACACTGCTGTGCTTAAATATATACGTAGTAAGTCAACTAAGATTTTAGAAGCAAATAAACCATTGGAAGATTTTTTTTATTTTTTATTAATTGTATTGTGCAGGTTGTATATTTCCGTTTGACTTAAATATAACTGGGAGGTGGGGAAATCTTTTGACTGGATTATTGGGGACAAAATAGTCTTCTATCTAAACTCTTGAAATCTCATTAGCTGAGAAAATGGGGGTAATAAAGAAATCACTAGACCACAGATTTCTCAGGCAATCTTTTGTATAAGCCTAAGTCTCTCTGGTGGTCCTGCGGGCACACTGGGGTCTCCGCTGAGCTGGTCATTCATTTCACACGTTTGCACCTGCTCTGCAGCCTCACAGAGAGGGCACAACTGCTCAAGAACGTCTTTAAGAAGAACCACGTAAACTTGTACCGGTCCGAGTCGCTGCAACAAAACCTGCTCCGTAAGTATTTGAGTCCTTTTTTTTTTTTTTAAATTCTGCCATTACTTCATAGCATTCATGAGAACAGTATTTTGACTTTAGGGACATTTAACTATTTAAAATTAGCACCTACAACAACTTTTGCATATTTGGCAACATGTTCTGTAAATAACAAATGTTTAGAGAATCCTTTGACCTCAACCATCTCACTTTTAGCAGAAAAGACAGAGCACTTTAAAATCTTGCTGCTTTCATTTAAAGAAAAATAATATTTCCACATGCCCCTTGCTTCCTTAAATCTTAAAAGGAACCAGTAAAATAAATCTTAACTCTTAAAAGCTCCCTCTGTATTGTTATCTTTTCTACTTGAATAACTTTGCAATAGCCTTTTCAGCTTTCATGCAGAACAATGAAACATATATATTCCCCTTCAAAAATATTTATGAACATTTGGAGTTGTAAGAAATTACTAGGTATCATGCCCTCTTACCATTTCAAAAGAATATAATATATAAAACCCTGTAGTAAATGTATTTATGTTAGTAATATATCTTTTGTTTCATGTTGTTTCCACATATAATTTATTTTTATTTATATACACTCATATTGAATGCTTTTGCTCTTTATACTTCAAGAGATGTGATCCCCTGGGGAGCCATGGCTTATCCATGTGCCCCCACCAGCCCTGTTGGGGCTTGAGTGAGTTTATTTGTAGTTGCCCAAAGCCAAGCAGAATATTGTCTGAGGGAGAGACCGTTTTTCCACCATTCGTAGTTATATGTGCTTATCGCCTCTTCACTTTCATTCTTCCTTCCCTCTCACCCACCTAATCTATGTGAACATACAAGTGCCCTCTTGACTGGGCTCCCCAATCCCTCTGGAAGTCGGGAAGCAAAAATTAGAGGGGTTGAACCTGAGATGCTGAACAGAGAATTGAGAGGGATTGAGAGTGCCCGCTCATTCATCTAGGGAGAGAACTCAGAGACTCTAAGCCAGTCATCCGTCCCACTCCGCATGTAGCTCTTGAGTCTCTGTCCTTTCCCAACATTAAAAATTAGTGTCATCATGCTTTTAAAGGGGGGAGGGACGCATTAGTTCGCCAAGTTAGAAAAGGAGCACTCAGAACTCAGACTAACAAGAGATTTCCAGTGACTTCATGATGATCATTTCTCTTTTATCTTTAACTTCCAGACGGGTATGCTTTCTCTCAAGATGAAAATGGAATCGTCTCACAGTCAGAAGTGATTAGGGCCTATGATACCACAAAGCAGAGGCCTGATGAATGGTGATGGGGAGGGGCGCCCGGCAGGCTCGCTGTGTCACTGAGGAGCGCTCCCAGGTCTTCACCGGAATCTGCTGACCAATTGCAGCCTGGTCCAGGGAGGTGAAAGGTGGATCTGAGCTCATGTCGTTGATTGACATTCAGATTCATGTACATTATAGACATAAGCACTGTGCGATCTACTGTAACACCATCTCTTTCAGATTTTTTAAAGTCTTTGCTAAGTCTTTGTAAAGAGAAATTGAAAACGACCTTGTATTTTGCCAGGAGTGCTTTCTTACACTGAGAATAGGTCAGTATTCTTAAGCCGTTCTTGTAGGGCTGTAACTGACAATTTATTGGTTATACCACAAAGCGACCAACCATTAAAAAAAAACTCTAAAATGGTAATAAATGAGAGAGGCTTTTGATATTCAGACTTAGATTTCAGAATATGTTGGGGGGGGGAAGCCAGCATTCTTAAGGAACTGACTCACCTTACTGAACAAAATTTCTAAACAAGACATTAATAAGTGTTTGTGTCAAAAATTGTCTCGATATGTGTTTGCCAAAGAAGTTCAATAAATGTATTTCTCACTCAGTAGTCATTTGCCCAGAAATTTGAGAGTTTACCTCCAGTCCTGCTATAAGATCTGCATGCTCGACTTTTCAAATCTAAGAGTGATTTGCAAAAATGAGTATTTCAAGGCATTTGCTACTAAAATCTGTGATGTTGCACCTTTGGCCTTACAAATGCTTTTTTCTCGTCTGTCTTGTGTATTTGTTCAAGTTAGAGTAACGCGTGGTAATGTGACTCTTGTCGTTACAATACTGATTTCTACAACTGTGTTTATGTCTCAGTCCTTTCTAATGAGGTTTCATCATCATTTAGACTTTTCTAAAAATCTGGCTTCTGCTATAGATGGAGTGATTATCATTTTGTCTTAAAGTTTTCTCTCTTAAGAAAAATATGCTTATGTATTCACATGGGATTTCTCATGCTTCTGTCGGGATGTTTGAAATACCATGTCGGACAAACGCATGGGCTTTTGTCCTGTGATTTGGTTCTCCCTGTGCGTTCCCACTAGAGACGCCTGCTGTCTTATGTAGCACACGCTGTGTTATGCTGACTCCCTGAAACTTAAGGCTGAGAATTACTTCACAGTTCACTTGTCAAGCAGCTCCCAAAATTGGTCACATGCTGCTAATTGGCACAAATAAATAGTACATTTTCCCCATTAAAAGAAAAAAAAATACCTATGTTACTCAAGCCTTATAACTTTACCATCAAAGAACACTTTTCATCATGAGCTGGTTTTGTTCATATGTTCCAAACTGTATGTTCAGTTTCATTATTTAGAGCATTTTCAAGGCATCTGAAATGCCTGTTTTGCTACCAACAATAAATGGTGAAGGGGCTGTTTTAAAACCACAACCAGTTTTCTACACTATTTTTAAAATAATTCTTTCATTCAGGAAGAACTTAAAAAGGAATTCTAGTTTTCAGATACACTTCAGAGATTGATGCAAACTTTTTGCCTTTTATTCCCAAAAAGCCTGTTTGCCTTTAAGTGGACTTACCAGCAAAATAGGTAGAAATTCCTCTTAAAAAAGAAAAACAGTAAATTAGAATTGAGAAGAGAGGTGATTTTCCAAATCACTCCTTGAATTGAATAATTTCACATTCTCTTCACCCTTTTTCTCAATCTAGATTTAAAATTAGGCAGCACACCTTTCCTTTCCCTGTATTTTTAGCTATTTGGTTACAAGCATGCCTCCCACATTTTCTACAAATAAGAGAGGCTGTCACACATACATAATTCTAACCTAAAAGGGGCCAGGAGCTGACATACTTCACCTCCAAGTCCCTTCCCACTTGGGGTTTAGGTGAAGAGAATCGTGAATCAAAACATCCAGCAAAGCCATAGGTGTAAGGTCATCCTCAAAATTCTGAAGTCACAGGCCTTGACTGTCTACTGAGTGGATCTATGAAAGTGGCTTTTCTGGGTCTCCTGACAGTTGAAGTCCAACCACAAAAATTAAACAAGAATGACGGACATCCCTCCAGAGAACACCTCATAGCAGTTAACAGACACCAGTGGCTTCCACTTGCCCTCACCTCACTGGTGGCATTCTTCTCCAAAGCTTTAATAGGAAAACATGATGAATATAATAAAACTTAATGTTATGCCTTCAGAAAACGAAAAGTTCTATTTTACCTCGAAACATGGATTGTTTCTGTGGAGCTCTTCAATATGAGTAGAATACTCATGGTTAATAATGTATAGGATCATGATCAGAAATAGGACTAATTTATGCTTCTTTTGTCCCCTGGCCCTGTATTTGAATTATCAATATTAAGTCCATTTTTTTGCTTCTTGGGTGGGAGTGGGGCAGGTTGGGGGGCCGGGGGCAGCAGGGAGTGATCTCCTTGGTGAAACTTAAAATATAACATTGTGGTGGCAGTGACTTCCTAGTGCTGGATTAGAGAAAACCCTCTGGTTTTTCCACCTGCAAAGGAGAAAAACCGTCACACGGTTTACCAGGACTACAATAAACAGTTGAAGTGGCTTTTCACGTGTATTTTCTGAAAATAAAGGACACGTACTCTGCCATGAAAGAGCCCCTTGTAGGGACTCTGGCGAATGCTAGCACCGTTGCTTTCAATATTTACAATTCAGAAAATACTACTTACAGCAGAAAATCCTCATTCGTTTCGGATTGAAAAGTTGAATAGTACACAGTGACCCTGTGCATGAACTTTCTAAATGTTTTATATAACATATAAAAACATATTGGTGTCTCACACCCAGAAAGATGCTATATGGTAGAAATTGCTAGCAGGGAAATGGTGTTTCTCAGGAATGTAGTAAGTTTAAAATGAGATCTGTGTGCCCACCCTCCCACTCCCCACTCTGTCTGATGCAAGCCTGCTTCAGCAGGGGCGTGAAGTTAATGGAAAGCTTCTTCTGATCAAGTCAGGTGAACTGTATTCAGCTCAGTAATATTAGCCATTTACATAAATTGTGTGGTCATTCACTAGAATCAGTGATTCCTCTTCATTTCCAGGGAGGAGGGGGTTAAGCATCTATTCTGACCCTTACATTTATATTTTAATTTTGCAATTCTGCATCCTGAACATCCAATAGGAAAGTCACGGGGTAACTTGTTGGGCATTGAGTGCACTGTACATCACTTATAATCTGCCATTTAAAATGTTCTTTCAGAAAACGAATGCTAGTCTGAAAGTAATAGATTGTATATTCGTAGTTTTAAGTTATTTATAACAAGGTCATCATTATTACAAAGCAAAATAATCGTCAGTGTTTATTTCTGTGTAGTTGCTCTTGGACGGTTCCTGATTTTAAAACTTGTATCATCCAGTAAGTCTATAATCTCATAGTCATCTACAAAATTTATCAAGAAAATGCCCACCCCATTTAATCATATGGGCCAGTCCTATGAATTCTTTTTGTCAGTTACTTAATGTAACATAACACCATACAGTTTGTTACCTAAGTAATGCTTTTTAATGATGAATATTTCTATAATGCCTCTTAAAGAGACCATAGTCTGATTTTTCTCGCATTAAAATAACTGAAGTCACTTGTGAAACTTAGTTCTACTTTGCTGCATTTTAATTAACCTTCAACAGCTATTAAAATGGAATGTAAGTTAAATTTTAAAGGAAAGGAAATAAATGTTTTTCATTTTCCATCTTGATTTATTTTCTGTATGAGAGCAGCTGTGTTTTTGATAGGTTTATGGTTTGCATGAATTAATATTTAAAGTGGTTCAGGCCAATGCATGGCTATTGCTGTAAATCTTGATGTTTATTTTTCCTTTTAAAATTCTATCATGGCTTACCTGGAATTTAATATTCAGTGGACAAATTAATTGGTCTGCTGCACAACTTTTTTTAATAAGTAAATTATTTTATAAACAAATTTGAACAAATTTAATTGAAACTTTTGTTTAGCTGGCCTCGGAGAATCTCTTAATAAAGCTCACAAAACTCAGCAAATAAATCTCCCTTAAGTAGGAAAAAAGCTAAATTTCATACTTGCTTACTCTGAATTAACAGCAACTTTCCATAGGTAAATCTGCTCTTGCAAAGATGTGAGCAGAATATTAAAAATAATAATAAATATTTTTATGTTTCTTGGTTCTAGAATAGAAGCCATAACTGCCGTAAATACTATTTCTTCTTGTTTTACTACTTGAAACTTCATTTTTCACATTTTCAAGTTTATTAGGTTAAAAAAAAAAACAGGCAGCCTTGCAAGGCAGCTACTATGGAAAATTGCAGTTTGCATTAGTGATAAAATTGCATTTTCAGCCCCATGAAAAGCCATTCCTGCCGAAACTGCTGTAGAAATTGTGAAGCTGCATGAGTGGAGAGTGTTGAATCTGTGGTCATAGTAGTTTTCTCAGGTTTGTTTATGTCGATGTTCAATGCACTGTGTTTTATAAATAGTTACTAAGTTGAGTAATAACCCGTTCTATGCAGTGTTACGTGTCATTGGCCTTTTGTGAATGTGCATGTTTTAAACTGCAAATTTTAAACATTTTGTCCTCTAATTGTTATTAAAAATGAAATAAACTTTACCATTACATAAAAAAATACTGTTAAAGTTTTAATTGCTAGTTTTAGAAACTATATTGTTTTATAAAACCTTCAAATCCACATAACTATATAGTCTGAGAAGGGGTATCCATTTAATAGCTTTATTAACATATTTTGTTTACAACCCCAGTGATATATAAAACATCCCTTCTTCTTTACCCACCTAAAGGAAACGTGGGGTGGGGTATATTAACATTGGTTTAGGAAGAAGGAGAGTTTTGGCAATTAAGTGTCAGAAAGAAAATATTATTTTAAGTGAAATTACTGTATTCTGATTCTGCAGTCAGAAAAGCCTTCCAGGATTGCCCCCCTTAATATGCAAATCAGCCTGCAAGTGAGCAGCTCCCCCCCCCCCCCCCCGCCAGCCCAGGGTAAATTTCTCAGGGTCTCTAAACCCACCAGTGTTTTTTGTTTTTTTGTGTTTTTTTCAGTTCATGAGAAAGTGGTTCAGTTTAGCCATTACATTTGCAGGAAGTAACCAGAAAACGATGAAATTGCCATGTGACACAAAAGTACAGGAAACATCAGAAATGACAACAATAGTTCCATCAAAAATAGGCATGGTTGGCTAACCGGTAACTGGATCCGCACTCGAGGGACCTGCTGGCATAGGCTTCATTCGCAGGCACTGAGGAAGCAATCTGAGGTGCCCCTGGTTGTGTTCGAGTGAGGGCCCCAGTTCTTTCCCAGTCTTCTCAGGGACAAAAAAAAAAAAAAAAATAGGCATGGTTGGCTAACCGGTAACGAGCTGCACTCGAGCGACCTGCTGGCAGAGGCTTAGTTCGCAGACACTGAGGAAGCAATCTGAGGTGCCCCTGGTTGTATTCGAGTGAGGGCCCCAGTTCTTTCCCAGTCTTCTCAGGGACAACAGTTGGGTGTGACTACCCCAAGCAAAACCACAGCAAAACAATATGCAGACAGAAAAGTTACCTGTAATGAATTCTTGTAAATTCAGTATGCTTCCTCGTTTAGAAGCTTTCGTATTCTTATGGCTGTGGTACACTCACTTGTTATTTCACGTTTAAACTATGTAACTAGCGGTTCAAATAAGAATTCTCTGTCAGAATAACTTCATTAATAACGAATATTTAATTGCAATTTTAAAGTAGCCATGTACATATAAAAAATGTTAACGATTTGTTCCTTGATAGTTTAAGATGCCCATAAATTCTTACTTTTTCTGAACATATACTCAGTCAACTTTTTAGGTTATACAAAGGTAAACTGACTCATTGAAATGGATCACATTGCTAAGTATGATTGTGTATATTTTCAGGAGCCTTTTTGGTTATCTCATTTTAGGCAGGAAATTTCCTATGGACTTAGGTCAATCTGGGAAATTCTTCACCATGAGAAGGAGCTAATGATGACATCAATAAAGAATGGAGAGGCGGGGAAAATAAGAGGAAACAATCTCTCCATTTGAACAATGAAAACTATAATATGCTGGCTTTAGAATGAAATAACCATTTTAAAGCAAACCTACTATACTAAATGTGTGTGTGGTGGGGGGGAGGGGGGCGGGGTATGCAGATGATAACATAAACTCACAGGCCATTAGTACCCAACAGGGTAGGAAGATGCTCTGTCCCAGGCCATAACGGTAAATGAGCCAGGTATCAGAGGAGGCCATGGATTATCATGGACTAACTCTGTCAAACCATCGGACCATGTTCTCTGTTTCCTGCACTCCCATCAACATTTACACCTGCCCTCCCACAGTACTTAACCTTTCATTTTTATTTTAGGGTATTTCATCTGCTTTCTATCATTTATCATTAACAACGACACAGCTCCCTCCCTACTAGAATGCAAGTGATATGAGGCAGGGACCCTAACTACCTATTTCTCATGACAGCCCTAAACAGTAAGGTACCATTAGTATTTCTATTTTACAGATGAAAAACACACACACACACACACACAGTGAAATGAAGTGGCCCAAAGTCAATCAGCTTGTAAGTAAGAGCCAGAAAACTAACCCAGACACTATGACCCTAAAATCCGTGCTAACTCACCTTCTGGTTTTATGTTTCTCATGTGTAAAGGAAGAGATACTTGTCATGTAGGTACCATTAATATTTCTATTTTACAAATGAAAAAAAAAAAAAACAGACAGTGAAATGAAGTGGCCCAAAGTCAATCAGCTTATAAGAGCCAGAAAACTAACCCAGACACTATGACCCTAAAATCCGTGCTAAATCACCTTCTGGTTTTATGTTTCTCATTTTTAAAGGAAGAAATATTTGTCATGTAGTATTTCTGTGTTTTATATCATTCTGGGTTCTCATAATGTAGCACAAACACTACTGACCCTTACAATCCATTCTCTCTATAAGACATGTACAATAGTACACAATTAACCACTGTTCCCCCAATAGATTTTCCTGAGAAAATTGGGCCTTCTAGGTAGGTGTCGTAAAGAATGTAGACTCAAATTCATTGGGAGGGTAACAAAGCATCAGACCAGTTTCCTCCGTGTTCTGTAGTGTGGCGGGCTGCGGTGAGCACCTCCTGGGAGTCTGAGGTGACCCGATGTTAGCTTGGCTGTCTAATCTTTCCAAAATGAAGATGTCATCAAGTGACTCTCCCTCATAAAATCCTTCAAGGCTCCCTCTTGTATTTGATAAATATCCGACCACCATGGTTTTCAAGATCTCTTATCTGATCCTGCTTGTCTCTCCACACTCTCTTCTTTGAATTCTTTGTCTAGTTTCCAGGATGCTCCTTGTCCTTTCACGCTGTGGGTGCTTCTCTGCCTCCCTGTGAATTCTGTGCTTTGCTGAATATGCTCTTCCCCTCATTTCCAGACTCTTCTCCCCCTGGCCATCCAGTCTTCTTCACTCAGCTCCCACTCATCGCTCCCTGCTCAGTGCAGCCTCATCGTCTCCAGGATGAGTGAGGTGCCCTTTGCCTGGGCTGCCAGCGTGCTCTGTATGCACTTGCCCTGTCGTTGCAATTCTAAGTGTTGGATTAGGGGTTCATCTTCTCCTACGTGGCTGTGAGCTCTTGGAAAGCAGGAAAGATAACGTGCTTCTTTGATAAGGTACCCATAACATCATACATAGTTGTTGTGATGCCTAAAGTCCATGTGAAAAGTACCTCCTTGAATCAAAACTGTATGTTAGTCTGACCAGTGTTGCTCAGTGGTTGAATGTCGACCTATGAACCAGGAGGTCATGAATCGATTCCTGATCAGGGCACATGCCCAGGTTGCAGACTCAATCCCCAGTGCGGGGCATGCAGGAGGCATTGATGTTTCTCTCCCTTCATCTCTGAAATCAATAAATGTATTTTTTTTAAAAGAAGAAGAACTGCATGTTCTTCACCTTGTTACTCCCATCCTCTAGCACAGTGCCTGACCCATTAGTGTGTCCAACATGTGATTATTGAATGGAACGATTCCTGCCAATCTGCCACAGTATGGCCTTTTCACCCTGGGATGTGAATAATAATATTATCAGCTACCTGGCTTCCAGAGAGAAGTGCAAAGACATGTACTAGATGTCAACAAGTACTTGGGGATATGATTTGATTCCGTGTCACTGAATGCCATATTTCAGTAAGGTGCACAATGCTGGCCTCATGTTAAACAATTCATAGCCGGTGAACTTGACTGATGGGAGCATGCTGCTAAGGAGGGAAATGTGCAGATGTGAGCGTTCAGCATTCTTCAGCATTATTCTGCCTAAGAGATAAAAACTGCTCCCCAAAGGGATGGCAAATAAAAGTACAGCTACTTGAGAAACCTGACAAGTCCTAGATGGTTATCAGTGGGGGCAGTCCTGCCCCCTAGAGGACATTGTGAAATTGTGTGGGTGCATCTTTCTCCTTAATGTTTGGGGCTGGGGCAGGTGTGCTATGGGCATTCATGGGAGAGATCCTGCAATACCTGGCACAGTCCACACATCAAAGGCATGACTTTGGAATGTCCCACCATTCCTTTTGGTGGAAAAATCTAACCCCATTGTCCCTATAAGGTAATATTTGCACTACCTTAATATACACTGAATTTTCCAGATATAGAATAACTATGCAAATCAAAAGAATATCAAACTTTGCTTTGTTTGGGAAAAAATCACATAAACAGCAGCAGCACAACTGTGGTGTTTGAGTTGCCAATCTAGCAAACCTGCATCAGTCTGGCCTGGCCGGTGGGGCTCAGTGATTGAGCATCCATCCTTGAACAAGGAGGTCACAGTTCAATTCCCTGTCAAGGCCCATGCCTGGGTTGTGGGCTCAATCCCCAATAGGGGGTGTGCAGGAGGCAGCTGATCAATGATTCTCATCATTAATGTTTCTATCTCTCCCTCTCCCTTCCTTTCTCTAAAATCAGTAAAAACATATTTTAAAAAAAAAACAAACCTGCATTTGTCCTGATTTGGAAATGTTACATGCCAGTTATCTTGTGTAAGAGGTTTGCATCTGAGTCCTTGGTTAGTCTGCTCAAGCCATTATATTTTGAAATCAATTACTTTTCCTTTCTTTCTTCTATTTACCATTAGGGCATTGTATGGATTTTTTCAATTATATGTGTAATATGAGTAGTGGTATCTATGAATTTCACATGAGGACAGTTCAAGGGCTGTCACAAAATAACTGTCCTAAGGAGAGCTCACTGCCTCCAGCAGAGTTGACAGTCTCCGCCTTAGAGAGCGGGGCTGGGCCTCGTGCTCTGCTCTGCAGGGGGTTTCATGCGTGGAAGCATCAAAACCTCAACGCAGCCCTAGCCGGTTTGGCTCACTGCATGGAGTGTCAGCCCACAAACTGCAGCGTCTGGGGTTTGATTCAGGTCAAGGGCATGTACCTCGGTTGCAGGATCGATCCCTGGCCCTGGTTGGGCCCGTGCGGGAGGCAACTAATCGATGTGTCTCTCTCACACAGATGTTTCTCTCTCTGTCTCTCCCCTTCCCTTCTGCTCTCTCTGAAAATCAATGGAAAAATAACCTGTGGGATCTTGGGAAAGTTACTTCACTTCTCTGTGCCGGTTTCCGAATGTAAAATAGAAATTATAATAACTCCCCGTTGACTTTTTTGGGAGGATAAAATAAGTGAGTGCAGATAAATACTTACAATGGTGTGTGGCTCATGAGAGGCCAGGTAACGATTAGCTTAAAAATATAAAAAGAGCCATATTTAACGAACATGAATAAAACCAGTCTAATGACAGAAGAATGTGTTCCAGAGCATGTTCTCAAATGTACATCCTTTTATGCTCAGCCTTTTCTCCCTCCCTCCCTCCCTCCTCTTCTCCCTTCCCCTTCCTTCTTTCTTTTGTTTCTTCATTATGGGGGCTAATTTGAGATAGAGGAGAAAGCAGGAGACTGGAAGGCAGGGCTCCTTGGCCGTTAGACTGGGCAAAGGCTCAGTATCTTTAAACTTATTTCAGAAAGGTAGGCCCAAGAGACTCTTGGGTCCGAATTTTACTCTAACTAACTGTATTTGAAAACAGCTGCTAAGGGTGACCTGTGATAGTATGAATTCATTTAGGCCTGGATTCCCAAACATCTACAGGAGCCAGGCAGGTAACAGAACTGAGGGAGATGGGCCAGGTAAGGGGGGGACCAGGCAGAAGGCTGGCAAATGTCAAGTGTCCTGTCTGAAAAGGGCCGGCCGGAGCCTAGGGCAGTTCACATCTTCTATGGGTCCCAAGAAGCCAGAAATCCAGATTCTTAGGAGAAATAGCCCAACACGTCTGAGGGTGGCATGCAGCCCACCAGCTGATACTCGAGAAAAATTCACTTCCTTGACTGCTTTCATGAGCCCAGTGCAGGAAATAGCTTTTTAATGTAGTTCAAAATCAATGTGAGATCTTTTTTCTTTGCATTTCAAATGTGAAGTGTTAAGTAAAAATTTTCCTTTTATTGAATAGCAAAGAGTATCATTAAAGAGATAAAATGAAGCGCTTTGCTCTAAAATTTCAAATAGATTTCATGAAAACAAGTATTTTATTTATTCTAACCCAGCAGGATACATGCCCAAATGCATAGTCATCAGACATGGAACTCAGTGACGTTTGCAATATGTAACACTAGATGATTATAACCAGTAGCTGGACTTTGAACTCCACAGTTAATATTAACATAAAAAATTACAGTGTGACTACTAAATAATTAGTACCGTCAATGTGGTAAATCCATTAAATTATAAATCTTTACATTTGTACATAATTCATTTTACATATAAATGTTTTAAGACCCAACTGTCCAACTTTCACTTAAACAGAAAATATTGCTGAACAAAAAGTCTGCAATAAATATTCCCTCAGGTGGGTGGGGGAAATGCGTTCACATACATCCTGTGTTACCATGAATAGCTGAGTAAATACTGAAAACTTTAAACGCCTCCTGTGGTTATCAAAATCTTGTATTCTGAAAAAAAGCTCTTATAGTTTAAACACAATTTAATTATTAACTTAAAAAGTAACTGTTTCTGATGATGCTAACATTATTCATGGTTAGGTTGCTCCCAAAATCATAAATAGGTCGTTCACTGTCCCCTCAGTTTACTTAGTAGTAAATTCTTTTAAGTGGACCTTCAACAATTACTAGTACAACCAGGTATTGCCCTTTGCTTATTTATGCATATATTTGTATTATAATTCACTAAACAACTTATAATGAGAAAAGAACATGTAGACTTTTTCTAAACAGTACAGCTGAGTTGTCCAATAAAACATCTTCAACCTGTTGGCAACTGTAAAGTTTGAACTATTGTATCTTTTGAATAAAAGTAGCATAAATTGAAATGTACTGGTCACCATGTTTTCAAAGCCAGAAAGCAGTTATCTAACACAGTCATGCTGTGACTGGAGCCAGGAACCTGAAGACTAGAAAGCGTCGTATTTTCCTAACTCTCCTCCATGGCATCGCTGGGTTCCAGGGAAGTTTCCTTGCAAATATCTGTGGCATTGACAGCAGCATCCCACCCGCCTGCCCCGGTACCGCGTGTTGGATGTATGGCCGGGGCCTGTCAACTGGAACTGAAGTCTGGACAGGTCTTCCCAGGCAGTGGGGGCTCCTGCTGGAGCGGGTACGCAAAGTATTGGGGTGACACCAGGAAACCAGACGGCTGGGTCAGGTGGATTGGGTGGCCTGTGGTGTACGGCGGAGGTGGCGAGGGCACCAAGCAGCCTGGCTCCGCCCTGGCAAAGGAGAACCTTCGGATGGAGCCGCCCGTGGAGCTGGAGCTGGTGGCTGTGCTGGACTGCCTGGAAGGTGCTCTGAGGTTCGTGGAGGTCAAGATCATGGGCAGGGTCTCTGTCTGGTAGCTGCGGAGGGAGAAGCGGATTGGCTGCTGGGAGGGCTCCTTGGGTCTCAAGCAGGTGCAGCAATAGATGGCCACTAAAGAGCCCAGGATGATGAAGGCGATGAAGATGGAGCCGACAATCAGGAAAGGGACGTAGACAGGCTCTAAAAGGCAAAAACAAAAAACAAAAAAGGGACATAGACAGATGCTGGGACTGGGGTCTCCCAAACTCCGGGCAGCTCAGGGGTGGGAGGTGGGCGGCTCAGTACTCCCACTGGTCAGCCCAACTTCTCAGAGCTTGTTACTGGTAACTTCTAGAGTGTAAACTGTGATGAGGGAATATTCTTGCTCCTAGCGGAGAGGAAGGAAACTGATACTGTAGCCTCTGTTAGCAATTAGCCATCATATTGCACATCTGGAAGTCAGAAGGAACAGACTCGATCCTGTTCACGCACGGAGGAAAGGAAACGGTGGGTTTTTCTTGGTTACTGTAACTCTGGGTTTAAATCCGGGTTTTAGTAGTTTTATCACGGTGGGGCATTAGGGCTTTGACCCATAGCTGAGGCTGAAAATCCATCTCCCATCCCAGAATCTCCAATCTAAGCAAAGAGAACTAGGCCTGTTAAATGAGACCCTCCGGAATTTGCCAGACTATGGAAAGAGCTGTGTGAAGAAACCCACAGTGGGCCCCAATTAACTGTGTCTCCTAATGCATCACAAATGGTCATCTCTGGATGTTTCCAGAAATAAGTGGGGATGCCTACTCCAGCAGCCACACGTCTGCCTCTCAACTCCCACTGAAACCCTGCCAAGGTGAGGCTGATCTTTAGGTAGATCATGATGCAAATCGTGGCGTTGGTGGCCCAGACTGTGTGTGAGAGCATCCTTCCGGCAGAGCAAACCCCAATTTCCTTGTCTCTCTACAAGGCAGACAGGAAATGTCCCACCCCAGTGGCAGTCCCTGACCGATAGAGCCACACTTGCAGGCCGCCTCCAGCTTAGAGACAGAAGAAAGAAAACCTGCGTTGCCCAAGGCCCTACCTCTGCGTGGCTCTCTTTTATTTGTCATCTGATTCAGGTCTCATGGAGGTGGGCATGATATGCTCTATTTTCCAGATATGGAAAGATACCAGACAGTTTTCTACATTCTCCGAGGCAGTGGGTGAAGGGGAACTATCAACCCCCAAGTTCTGTGGGCTCCTAGGTGTAAGCTCCTCAGTGGACCACCCATTCCGCCAGGTTTGGTAACACCTGTGGAAGGCTAGGCGAAAAGGACTGAGCACTGCTCAGCGTCCCTGCACTCGCGTGCCATCCACGGCCTACCTCGGAGAGTGGCATGCCCGTTTCAGCGGTGAGAGGAGGCCCAGAGCAGTTCAGTGACTGGCCCAAGGTGACACCGCTGGCAAACCACAAAGCCACAGCCGGTGAGGACCTGCCAGACCCCAGCCTCAGTGAGTGCGGGGGCTGCTCTCCCTCTGAGCAGAGCCCGTGGGTCCCCCGCAGTAGACTGGTCGCTTATGCTCACTCTGTATCTACGGAGAGCAACCCCAGGTGAGAATAGTGTATCTTTCTAACCGGCTGCCTAGAGTGCCCGACTTTCCGCTGGTGATCTTTTCTCCAGTAGCCGCTTCCCAAATCCTCTAGGCTGGGCAGCCTGACCTCCAAAGCTGGATTTCTTGAAAGTCCAATGAAATTCTAGGGAAGAGCGGGCTCCCCTTTCCTCTGGGTTACGCACCCCTCTCCTGGCGGGGGCAGGAGGGGGAGCGCCAGCCTCATTCATTCATTCATTCATTCATTCTCTCTCCACCTCTCCTCGCCTGGCCGGACAGTCTCTCCCAGGCTTCGGACCTCCGCCCGCGCCCGTCTGGGGTGCGGGGCGCTCAGCTCCGCCCGCTCCTCCGGTTTCCGGGCCGTAAAACCATCGCCGGGAGCTCTAAAGGGTTTCCCTGATGTTCGGACTCAGGTGGGAAGGTCTTTTTTTTTTTTTTTTTTTTTTTTTTTTTAGTGGATAAA